TGCAAATAGCTAGTATACTTGTGAGCCTTTATCATTTGAATGATTTTTGATTTCATCCTCAAACTGATTCATTTGGCCCAATATATTTTAGTAAATTTTTCGAAAATTGGTAAATTTTAAGGATATAAATTAGATTATATCAGAGTTAAATGATACAAAAGTCTTGAAAGGATTCTATATTAAAAAGAAATTGAAATTAAGAATATATTTTTTTTATATATTGGATGATTTAAAAATTTTGGAGAATAATCCCTAACATAATAGAGAAAAAGATAAAGTGTAGTGATTGTAAAATGCTCAGCCACATCACATTTTCTAAGCTAAATTTGATTTTGATATTCTTGTTAATGTAATTTTAGATTATAGTAAGTCCATTTCTAGCAAATTATAGGAAATCAGCGACTGCTCAATAATTTATACAAGCGAAATGTATTATATCCAATTTGTCCATAAGTTAGAGTTGTTATTTAAACAAATCAAAAGGCTTGATTCAAATTATTAGGGTGGTGCAAAAGCTGTTTGAGCAGAGAAGTTAATTTAATAAGGATTAGAACTAATTTTAGATAAACTATGGATTTTGAATAATTGTCATAACTTATGAACAAGTCTTATGAGCAGGATTATAATGAGTTACTGTTCTGTATATTCAATCTGCATTAACATAAATTATTATTCGATGTTGAATTCTATGTACTTAGTCCCTAATGATATAATTAATGAATAATCCAGCAAGAAAGGAGAAAACCTGAGGACATAAAATAGCTAAAGTTATACTTATCTGAAATGCCATCTTATTTACTTCTAGATTTATTAATACTACTGTATGCACTTTACTTTCATTACCAATTTTCATCTGCTATTCTAAATGTAAGATCAAAATAAGTATTCGAAAATATTCTTCTAGTAATAATTATAATGAAATAATATAATAAGATTCTTTACCTAGTTACTTAAGAATTTGCAGAACTTTTAGCCAATCAGAAAATTGTAGTTAGATTTTGGTTAATCATTTTGATTTTACTAATAATTACATGATAACAGTGAGTGATATTGTAGTTCAATCTCTCATAAAGAAGCCTTGATTAAATCTATGCAACAAAAATAAGGTTTTTTTAAGCTTTGCAAGGAAGTTTATTCTAGAATTTTTGTTCTGAATGTATTTATTTTATGAGAATACAAATTACATTAATTTTCAAATAGATATATATAAATATTCTGATTCAAATTTTCTAAAAAATCCTTATAAGTTTAGTAAATAAAAATTCAGAATAACGTTGACGATCCCACTCTAAAAATATATGTACAAATTTATTGACATTTTATTTTTTTATTTTAATTAATAAAATTGAATTGATAAACTAGTTACACGTATGTATAAAAAAATTGTAGATTTGAATTTTTAATTCTATATTTATTCAATTAATTCAATGTTTAACAAATAAAAAGCTTAGTTTTGTTAAATTCACAAATCTTAAATTTGTATAGGGTTTTGTGTTTCAAAAAATTGCCCTTCAAATCCTTTCTACTGTTAAAAATGTTTAGAATAAGATCATGAGGATCATAAAGAGAGCTGCAAAGAATTTGGATAAATAACCAAGGATTTCACCGATTTAATCAAAGCAAAAAAGAGTCACCTAGACAAGGTAAAAGAAAAATAAATTCAATTGCAATAATTAGGCAGATATTAAGTTGATGCATATGAAAGACAAATAGATGAACTAAGAAACATTTAAAGAAACTTTTCGAAGAAAAAACATAGTTCTTTGTCAAATTAATAAATTAAAATCTTCAAAGAATAATATTGTATAGATAGATAACTTGATGATTGTAAATTTTAATAAGGTTTAGTGAATGAGCTAACTTAAATGGAACAATTAATTTAATCTTTAGAATTAATAAAGGAGGATTGCTTAAAAAATAGAAGATACAAATTAAAAGGTATTCTTATCAAAATCTATTTTTAGAGAATATAATAAACTGCCTTTCTATAGGAGGTTGTTGGTGCGTCTAAATTATTATCATTATGATTTTGTTTTATTTTTTTCTGCTTTTGGCGTTTATAATACCTTGGATGTATTATGAATCTGAGGAGTAACTAAGGTATTATTAAGCAATCCAAAGTAAACCTTTTATAGAAACATTCGTAGACTAAACTCAGTATTTTACTCAAGGTAATAAATTTAATATTACTTCAGCTAATGATTTATATCTGAAGGGGGATTATAGTTAAGCTATTAAATATTATAATAAGGCAATCGATTTACAATAAATATAATAATGGGATAATGCAATCGGTTTACAATAGGGTAATGCATCCATTTACTTTCATAACGGTAGTTGATAGCAATTAAATTATAGGAAATGCTCTAGCAAAATTATATTATTTTGAGCTCGCAGTTTAAAATTATAACAAAGCTTTGAAAATAAATTCTGAAAATGATGCCATATATATGAATAAAGGTATTCATTGAATTTCAAATCAGGGTATGTGCTAACTAAATTAAACCGTTTTACTTAANATTTTGATATTCTTGTTAATGTAATTTTAGATTATAGTAAGTCCATTTCTAGCAAATTATAGGAAATCAGCGACTGCTCAATAATTTATACAAGCGAAATGTATTATATCCAATTTGTCCATAAGTTAGAGTTGTTATTTAAACAAATCAAAAGGCTTGATTCAAATTATTAGGGTGGTGCAAAAGCTGTTTGAGCAGAGAAGTTAATTTAATAAGGATTAGAACTAATTTTAGATAAACTATGGATTTTGAATAATTGTCATAACTTATGAACAAGTCTTATGAGCAGGATTATAATGAGTTACTGTTCTGTATATTCAATCTGCATTAACATAAATTATTATTCGATGTTGAATTCTATGTACTTAGTCCCTAATGATATAATTAATGAATAATCCAGCAAGAAAGGAGAAAACCTGAGGACATAAAATAGCTAAAGTTATACTTATCTGAAATGCCATCTTATTTACTTCTAGATTTATTAATACTACTGTATGCACTTTACTTTCATTACCAATTTTCATCTGCTATTCTAAATGTAAGATCAAAATAAGTATTCGAAAATATTCTTCTAGTAATAATTATAATGAAATAATATAATAAGATTCTTTACCTAGTTACTTAAGAATTTGCAGAACTTTTAGCCAATCAGAAAATTGTAGTTAGATTTTGGTTAATCATTTTGATTTTACTAATAATTACATGATAACAGTGAGTGATATTGTAGTTCAATCTCTCATAAAGAAGCCTTGATTAAATCTATGCAACAAAAATAAGGTTTTTTTAAGCTTTGCAAGGAAGTTTATTCTAGAATTTTTGTTCTGAATGTATTTATTTTATGAGAATACTAATTACATTAATTTTCAAATAGATATATATAAATATTCTGATTCAAATTTTCTAAAAAATCCTTATAAGTTTAGTAAATAAAAATTCAGAATAACGTTGACGATCCCACTCTAAAAATATATGTACAAATTTATTGACATTTTATTTTTTTATTTTAATTAATAAAATTGAATTGATAAACTAGTTACACGTATGTATAAAAAAATTGTAGATTTGAATTTTTAATTCTATATTTATTCAATTAATTCAATGTTTAACAAATAAAAAGCTTAGTTTTGTTAAATTCACAAATCTTAAATTTGTATAGGGTTTTGTGTTTCAAAAAATTGCCCTTCAAATCCTTTCTACTGTTAAAAATGTTTAGAATAAGATCATGAGGATCATAAAGAGAGCTGCAAAGAATTTGGATAAATAACCAAGGATTTCACCGATTTAATCAAAGCAAAAAAGAGTCACCTAGACAAGGTAAAAGAAAAATAAATTCAATTGCAATAATTAGGCAGATATTAAGTTGATGCATATGAAAGACAAATAGATGAACTAAGAAACATTTAAAGAAACTTTTCGAAGAAAAAACATAGTTCTTTGTCAAATTAATAAATTAAAATCTTCAAAGAATAATATTGTATAGATAGATAACTTGATGATTGTAAATTTTAATAAGGTTTAGTGAATGAGCTAACTTAAATGGAACAATTAATTTAATCTTTAGAATTAATAAAGGAGGATTGCTTAAAAAATAGAAGATACAAATTAAAAGGTATTCTTATCAAAATCTATTTTTAGAGAATATAATAAACTGCCTTTCTATAGGAGGTTGTTGGTGCGTCTAAATTATTATCATTATGATTTTGTTTTATTTTTTTCTGCTTTTGGCGTTTATAATACCTTGGATGTATTATGAATCTGAGGAGTAACTAAGGTATTATTAAGCAATCCAAAGTAAACCTTTTATAGAAACATTCGTAGACTAAACTCAGTATTTTACTCAAGGTAATAAATTTAATATTACTTCAGCTAATGATTTATATCTGAAGGGGGATTATAGTTAAGCTATTAAATATTATAATAAGGCAATCGATTTACAATAAATATAATAATGGGATAATGCAATCGGTTTACAATAGGGTAATGCATCCATTTACTTTCATAACGGTAGTTGATAGCAATTAAATTATAGGAAATGCTCTAGCAAAATTATATTATTTTGAGCTCGCAGTTTAAAATTATAACAAAGCTTTGAAAATAAATTCTGAAAATGATGCCATATATATGAATAAAGGTATTCATTGAATTTCAAATCAGGGTATGTGCTAACTAAATTAAACCGTTTTACTTAAGCTATTGAGTGTTATGATGAGGCAATAAAAATCAATTTTCTCAATGATGAGGCCTACTACAATAAAGGTAACCTTATTAATAATATCATTAATTAAATTTTAGGAAAAGCCTTACATTAAGTTTAACGTTATCTTGAAGCTCTAGAATCATATAATAAAGCGATCCATATTAAACCCAATAATCAGCACTATCATAATAGTAAAGGTTACTAATTTCAACATAAATTATAGGACTAACATTACATAAGCTTAAAGAATATCATTAAGCTATAGAATCTTATGATTTTGCTCTTAAAATTTCAATAGATCAATAAATATTAACAAATAAAAGTATTGTTTCTTAAAATTTAAGATGATTCATTATTGAATTTAGATAAAATTGACAAACCTTAAGAATTCAAGAAGGATTCTTTGTTGGAAATAAGAAAATGACGCGATGAAGATGATAAGATTGAAAATTATTTTGAATTAAATAATTTACATTTATAAACAAATTATTTTCATGATTTAAACAATTAATTTAACATCTGTTGATGCAATTTACAAAAATAAATATAATCTTAAACAATAGCACATAATTTTTGAGTTTTTTTCTAATTAAAGAAGCTAGAATTATTATTTACATCTTTAAATGTTATTATAATCATGGATGCTCCAATTATTATATATTATATTTAAATTATTTATAAGCTAATGTTGTATTGAAGTATAATATTAATACAAAAATAGATTTTTGTAAATTAATTTCTTTCTGAATTACTTTAATGCAATGAACAACTTTTTTATAATTTTATAATACTTTTCTAATTCAAATTTGATCATTTTTATATATTGTAATTGTAATTAAAATAATTCTTAGGTTATAAATTAATTATTTAATACAAATTTCTTCAAATAAATATTTATTCAATAACTGCACATTCCAAAATTTAAGGCCAATCTTAACCTAACAAATAAGTGCTTTAGATATTTTAAATTATTTCCATTAATAAGGATATCCTAGTCTAGAGTAGCCAATTTAAAAATTAGAATTGATTAAACTATATATCATGACTACTTCGAAAAGTATTTAATCTCATATTTCAAATGATCAATTAAGGCTTACTTTTATGAGAATAGAAAGGAAGAACATAAATCATCTTGAATGCTATCATCCATCTTAATCCATTTACAAGGGGTATAAGTTCCAAATATTTTGACTGCTAGATTTGAATACAGTCTTATCATTTATTTTTTTCACAAACATTTATTCATTTTAAGCATTTTTAGCTCCTAAATAGATCAATTTTGCACTTTTGATATTTTTTACCTTTTTTACTCGATATTAGATCTTATATGAATGATAATTATTCATTGAGTAAGATAATTTTTATTGTTTTCTAAGCTTTGAATGTATCAATTTATTTAAACTAAAATGCTTTTCAGAAATTTAAATATACAATCCACCAAGCACCTTTTAAATTGTGGAAATCTCTCTCTTCTTTCAAATCCTAAACTTAATTATAATTCTAACTCAAAATGCCTTCATAAATCACTTAATTTAAATTATTTCTTATTTTTTATTTCAAATCATCCCTTGCCAACAAACATATTTTTTAAGTTTTAAAAACATTTTGTTAAAATTTTATACCTTTTTAGATTTTTTATTCAATCTCTGTAGGCTATTAAATTAAACAACTTCATCATATTAACTGAACTCTTAAATAAATTAAATAACTATTGATTAATATCAAATTTAATAATTAGATACTCAGAGTATTTTAACGCCTTATTAAATTCAATTTTACTTAATTCATATGAATTAGTTTCTAAATTTTGTTAAATTTGATTGTTCTTACAAAGACAGTAGAATGATATCATAACAATATTAATTTGCTTCATTGAAAGGTAGAAGAATAATAAATATAATCCCTCTTGTTTAAAATAAGGTACAGGACGACCTGAAAGATTTATAAACAATTTAGATATAGGAAATATTATTATATAAGTAATATAACTCTTTAGATCCTTATTTAAAGTTATCTTGCAAGTTCAGTGAAGGAAATTTTCTAGTCGGATTGCAAATTAGTTTAGAATGGAAATTGATGGTTGGTAGAAATTTCTCCTTCTTATATCTATTGATTTGCAGTCTGAACCTTATCATTATAAATTGGAAAGAATAAATGTCTATCATTATTTATTTATTTTGGATTCCTCGTTGTATTTCAATAATATTCTTCTTAATTGCCAAGAATTTATATTATAATGGCAACTGATTTTCGTAGTGAGTATTTAAACTTTATACTCTTGGAAATAATCTGTTTCAGAACGCTTTAGTTTAAATATTATCAGAACCCTTATAGAGTATATAGGATCATATACCTCAAAAAAGTGTATTATAGTGAAAGCATATTAGAAATATAAATGCGCTATTTTCAAAGAGGCTCTCAAACGGATTTGATTAGATAGTTTATTTCTAAAATTTGGATTATTAAATATTAAACAACAATAGGAATTATGTTGATTACAGTAGGTTATCTAATGTCAAATAAATTATCATTATAGAAGTGAATAAATATCCTAATATAAACCAGAATTCCCTGTTATTAGAAGTGTTTTCTAATTATAATTAATATGACCTAAATAAATATTGTTCTGAATTTAATACCATCTAAGTCATAAAATTGCTTATTATAGCCAAAACTATTCTTATATTTTTTTATAAACAATTTTCTTTAATGAAATACAATAGATTTCTAGTAATACGTGTGCATAGGTACAACATAAATTTAGGTCTTCTTGATTTGCATTTAAATATATAAGGTGCAGATTGTAAATTATGCTCAAATTTCCAAATTGATAATTTTTATTGAGCTTCAAATCCTAATAATTCAATGCTTCATGGTCTCAATTAAAAATTCGAAACACTTTCAAACCCTAATATATTCAATTATATTTATTCATCTGAAATAAGATTTCTTAAAAGAAGCCATTTTTGCTAGTTAAATTAATATAATTAATTAGTTCCCCATTTCTGAAAAAATGTTTGAATAACTTAAGTTTTTGATTTTAGTAATTTAGTTTACACATTGTANCATAAATCACTTAATTTAAATTATTTCTTATTTTTTATTTCAAATCATCCCTTGCCAACAAACATATTTTTTAAGTTTTAAAAACATTTTGTTAAAATTTTATACCTTTTTAGATTTTTTATTCAATCTCTGTAGGCTATTAAATTAAACAACTTCATCATATTAACTGAACTCTTAAATAAATTAAATAACTATTGATTAATATCAAATTTAATAATTAGATACTCAGAGTATTTTAACGCCTTATTAAATTCAATTTTACTTAATTCATATGAATTAGTTTCTAAATTTTGTTAAATTTGATTGTTCTTACAAAGACAGTAGAATGATATCATAACAATATTAATTTGCTTCATTGAAAGGTAGAAGAATAATAAATATAATCCCTCTTGTTTAAAATAAGGTACAGGACGACCTGAAAGATTTATAAACAATTTAGATATAGGAAATATTATTATATAAGTAATATAACTCTTTAGATCCTTATTTAAAGTTATCTTGCAAGTTCAGTGAAGGAAATTTTCTAGTCGGATTGCAAATTAGTTTAGAATGGAAATTGATGGTTGGTAGAAATTTCTCCTTCTTATATCTATTGATTTGCAGTCTGAACCTTATCATTATAAATTGGAAAGAATAAATGTCTATCATTATTTATTTATTTTGGATTCCTCGTTGTATTTCAATAATATTCTTCTTAATTGCCAAGAATTTATATTATAATGGCAACTGATTTTCGTAGTGAGTATTTAAACTTTATACTCTTGGAAATAATCTGTTTCAGAACGCTTTAGTTTAAATATTATCAGAACCCTTATAGAGTATATAGGATCATATACCTCAAAAAAGTGTATTATAGTGAAAGCATATTAGAAATATAAATGCGCTATTTTCAAAGAGGCTCTCAAACGGATTTGATTAGATAGTTTATTTCTAAAATTTGGATTATTAAATATTAAACAACAATAGGAATTATGTTGATTACAGTAGGTTATCTAATGTCAAATAAATTATCATTATAGAAGTGAATAAATATCCTAATATAAACCAGAATTCCCTGTTATTAGAAGTGTTTTCTAATTATAATTAATATGACCTAAATAAATATTGTTCTGAATTTAATACCATCTAAGTCATAAAATTGCTTATTATAGCCAAAACTATTCTTATATTTTTTTATAAACAATTTTCTTTAATGAAATACAATAGATTTCTAGTAATACGTGTGCATAGGTACAACATAAATTTAGGTCTTCTTGATTTGCATTTAAATATATAAGGTGCAGATTGTAAATTATGCTCAAATTTCCAAATTGATAATTTTTATTGAGCTTCAAATCCTAATAATTCAATGCTTCATGGTCTCAATTAAAAATTCGAAACACTTTCAAACCCTAATATATTCAATTATATTTATTCATCTGAAATAAGATTTCTTAAAAGAAGCCATTTTTGCTAGTTAAATTAATATAATTAATTAGTTCCCCATTTCTGAAAAAATGTTTGAATAACTTAAGTTTTTGATTTTAGTAATTTAGTTTACACATTGTAAATCTCATCGAATGCCATTTCAATAATATTAAGTAGTGCAATTCTTTTTTCGATATATAATTATTAAAATATTTTCAATATAAATTTTAATAAAAATAGAAAATGTAGATAAATTGTGACTAAGCTGGTCATCAAAATCAATCAATAATTGGTTTTTGCATAGATATTACATGCAAAAATTTAATACACTATTGTAATTTTTGCTTGCCTCTTCATGACAAACATTTTCACATGCTAACCCCCTTAAATCTTATAAACGAATGGGTTTAGTAACGAATCCTTAGAGTTCATAATGTTTAAAACAATATACAAGATTTCAAAGGTTCCCTAGATGATCTTCTAAATTGGTTCGATCCTTATTTTAACTTTAATATAAATTAAATGCCTGAATTAGGATTATCAGAGATTGATAATTTGGTCAAAAATCTATTTTAAATAGAAGAATGTGAAAAACTGTTATTTAGATTACTTAATCAATTAATTGAATAAGTAAAATAGATTGTTATCGAAATACTAAAAACATTAAAGAGATAAACCAATTTAAATGAAATTAATAATTCATCAATTTCACGTATTGATTAATTAATATTGGAATAACCAAAGCATCTCTAAAAGTTAAAATCAAATCTTAACCATATTACATATGAGTTCTTGAATAAAAATTCCATTGAATAACAGGAATACTGTTATGGAATTGCTTTTAATCAGGATTGCTCCATTGTAGCAGCAGGATGTTCTAGTTCTATAAAAATATATGAATTAAGGCATAAATGCAACTCTTGAATCAACATCAAGATTGTGTGACCACTTTAAATTTTATGAAAAAATCCAATTAGCTTATATCTGGAGATTTAGTTGGATCTATTTTGATTTGGTCAATCAATCATAATAATTAATGGATATGCCCATAATAACTTGAAGAACACAATGATCGTGTAAATTGTTTAATTGTGAATAATAACGAAGATATTATTATATCAAGTAGTTTAGATCAGACTATTAAGTTTTGGATTAAAAAAATGAATGGACTTGTTAATAAACAATAACACATCATAAACGTGGTTTTTATTAATTAAGTTTAAATGACAAATAAAATAAAGTTTTTTCCTATGGTGACAATCAATTAATATTAGTAATCGAGTATTAGGATTAGAATAAATAATGGATGGTAATATAAAATATTCAAGTTGATTCATAAGGATTTAGATTATGTTATATCAACGATAATCTTTTCACATTTCATCCAAAGAAAGGCAATTTGATAAATGCCTATGAGATGAATAATTTAAGCAAATAATACATTCAAACCAAAACTATCTCTGTAAATCTAGGTAATGACTTTTATCTATTTTTCCCATAATAATATATCAATTCAAAATAGTTACTTGTGAGTAAGCATGATAATTACGTCAATTTAATAAGAAAGACAGATAATGATCAATTTAAAGTAGAGTAATCTATTTAGTTTTGTAGTAATACATTATTTGGGTGCATGAGTGATGATGGATAATATCTGATTACTTGGGATGATTCATCTAAAGAAATACAAATTAGGATATGTAAAGAAGAATGAGGAATATTTTAATATAAATAAAAAACTTATTTAGGAAAGTTATAAATATATCTTTATCTAGCCTGCAATTTTATTGATTAGGATCAAGAATGCAAACAATATTTAACTCTCTCATTTTTTATTTTATTCTAAAGCCAAAAAAATACTATTATCAAATATTTAATTTCTGTTGACATTATTATTTAGTTAAGGAATTATTGATAAATAAAGATTCAAATTATACAATATTTGGCTAATTTATTATA